TCATCCATCCCTTCCCCGTACATCCGAAACCTTCAAGAAGGGTTACAGTCCAAAATGAGGCCAGCCTCCCCGCAGAACAGGCCGGGAGTCACCAAGCCCCTGCGGGAGCCTGTAGCACAGCCAGGGTTGGTGGTGCAGCCCACCAGGCAGGCACAGATAGTGAAAACCAGCCAACATCTAGGTTCCGGACAGGCCGGCGTGAGAGATGGTAGCACAAAACTTCAGGTCTCTTCTGTGAACCCTCCCCCAAGTCCCATGCCAGGTAGAATCTCTGCAACTTCTGGCAGCAGAAACCAGCATTCAGAGGGAATAGGCACTTTCACTGTGGGGGCGGGTTCTGGCCGTTTTGGAGAGCGCCTGGGCCCCAGCCACGGTGTCCAGCTGCAGCAGGCTGAGAGCGGTGCTGCGTATCCTTTACCAAGCAAGATAAAAACCGCAGAGAGGCTTCTGTCTCACGCTTCTGTGGCCGTGGATGTAGCTCCTCTCTGTCAGGGTGGGCCGGTGAGCTACAGCGATACGCGGCACCCAGCTTCCCTCACCAGCTCAAGCTCTTCTGGTTCTCCATCTAGCAGCGTAAAGATGTCAAGTTCAACCAGTAGTTTGACTTCAAGCAGCAGTTTCTCAGATGGCTTCAAGAGCCAAGGACCAGATGCTCGCATCAAAGAGAAGGCTGTTAACCAGGTTCAGAGCGGTACAGCTGAGCACAGACCACGCAATACCCCATTCATGGGTATCATGGATAAGACTGCAAGGTTCCAACAGCAGAGCAATCCTCCAAACCGCACCTGGCACTGTCAGGTGCCAGAGGGGCTACTGACAAACACATCTTCTGCAGCTGGCCTGCAGCCCTCGAACTCTGAGAAGCCCTCTCTGAAACAAGCGGCAGGATATAATAGCCAAGCCAAAACCTGTTCCGTTTCTACCCTGGGTGGAAGTGTCCATAATGGGGCACAGGTGAAGGAGGTAGAAGATAGGAAGTGCCAAATTCCAGCCCACTGTCAAGATAACAGGATAACTAAGACTGTTTCTCATCTGTACCAGGAAAGCATCTCTAAACAGCAGCCTCATATCAGTAATGAAGCCCACAGGAGTCACCTTCCTTCGGCAAAACCAAAGCGATCATTCATAGAGTCAAATGTGTGAGCCTTAAAAGAGACCCATTTGTAGAATTTGGAAAACTGCATTGGCTCCTGGTGGTAATTTAATGTTTTTTTTTAATGAGAAAAAATTACTTTTTAGCCACATTTTTTTTCCTTTTTCCTTAGGAGTGGATCAGATACCACTGATTTATTTAAAATGTGGGATAAACTTTCTTTGATAATAGCCAGAAGTCACTATAAATAAAAATGCTAACCAGAATCGGAAACTACAATTAGTTATGCCTATTAAGTTAAAAATTTAAGATAGCCAAGATGACATTAACTCATACTTTTCTCTTATGAAATGGTTTGGGTTTTATCACTTTTCTTCGAGCTTTTGCTGTGTGGTAAAATCATATTTCATAGAGAATGTCTAGTGATAGGTTTAATTCATGATATAATATCCAGATGATATATTCTGGAAAAGATGGGATTTTCAAGTTATAGTTCTATTGAGTCGGATCCCAATTTATACATATATATACACACACACACAAAATTAAGATCCAAGTGATTTCTAGCCAAATGTGTGACTATAAATAGTATATAGCTGATTTTTTTTTAAAGCAAAATATGAGAACATCCAAATATTATTCCCTTTATAGCAGCTCCCTGAAGATGATTAGGCGCTTATTTCCATGTTATGGTTCGCATTAAACACAATTTTATAGCAACTTTTTGGAACTATATTCCCACTCAAAGGTGTTTTAATATTTGGAAACAGTGTAAGCCATTTGGAATCATGATTGGTGGTCACGTTGGGTTTGGGTTAAATACTAAGAATATAGCATTCTTGCTGACGTGTAAATTAGCTCTCAGCTGCTTTTAACAATGATAGCACTCCTGGAACAAGCCTTCCAAGGTCCTTTAAGGACAGTATTTAATTTGGATACTTAAGGTCTGGTTGGTTGGTTGCTTTTGTTATACAATCATTACTTTATAGTCACATGTTGTACATATTAAATAGCCAAGTTGTATTCAGACTTGTAAATATAACTATTTCAACTAGTTTAAAAAAAAAAGTCATATTTGCATGTTCTTTGTAAGCTTCATCCATGCTGGTTATTGCACTGAACAATATGTCGTTACGGCATGTTAACAGTGTACCAGTAACGGCACTTTATCTCATTTTATATGAACACCTTTGAGGTGCTAATTAAGTCCAAACTGATGTATTATTAATTTGTAAAGATAAGGTACAGGAATGAACCTTGGTTTAAAGGTATTTTTATATGAAAATGGCGTGCTATTGAAGGATGTTAAAATGCTAGTTTTGAGAGCAGTGGGAGTGTATTTGTTTTATATGTTGGGATGTGAAATTTATTTTCTAGAATTGGGGAGAAGGAAGTTCTATATTTACAGAATGTTTAAAAATGAGTAGTTGTAATGAAGTTCCTGTGAGCATCCTTATGGTTTTGTACGAATAAGAATCTTCCGGTGTCATTCTTTAACATTTGTTCCCATTGTATTTTGTACAGCTTTGCCATTTTTTAATAGGCTTTTCCTGAGTTCTGCTATAACTACTATGGCTTATTTATTGGTTAATATTTTTGAAAGTCTTACCCTTTCGTTATGTAGTTTTGTTTCTGCACAACTACTGTACTTTTCCATATGGAATAAAGACTATTAATAGAATTTGTTTTGCATTAAATGAAACCATGGGTAAGGAGAGAATATCTTGATGGCCACTTCCTGCCTTGCTTTTATCCTGGGTGATCGTGTTACCCTAAAGAAAATCGTGAAAAGCCTATTTTTATAGTGATACTACCAAGTGCATATTTTATTTCATTTAATAATAATTTCAAACAAGGGTGACAGCATCTAGAAATCCCCAAATATTCAAGGGTCAAAAGTAGTCTTTTTGCCTGGAATAGGAAGAAAGCACAAAGAACTTTATACTTATATTCCAGAAATCTTGGTCTTTTTACTGACAACAAGCTATCTTTAGTAATTTAAATCTCAAAACATTTTGACAATACCCTGAACACTGTTAATACAAAAGTTTGATCTTCAGCACTTTTATTTCAGTTAAAAGTGTGCATTTGTCTTTATACCCGCGTATTTCAAAGTAGTATGAATGAGTGAATATTAACCTGTGTTGTACTGTAATAAAATCCTGACTTGGAACCTTAAGCCTAAGTATTCCTTAATACTACTGCAGGTTATCTGGTTACTGCTATCACTAGAAGGGCTAGGTAAACTATTTTTAGTCCTTCTTTTAAAGATATATTTAAGCTAAAGGTTAAAAACAGTAGACTGAGTGGGAGGAGAAAAAGTGTTATTGGCTAATAGATAATTCTTGTTCGATGACTTTTCCTGTGAAGCTGCTAGTGACTATTAGAATTTATTATATATTACGTGATTTTGATATATTCTTAGTAAAAATAAGATATTTGGTTCAATAGTAAAGTATCCTTGGGAAGCTACTGGTCAGTCCTGAGGCCTGGGAAACTGGCAGGTGAGTGCTGCTCCCATGCAGTCCTGAATGAACGGTGAGGCCTGGAGAGTATGGCAGAGGGGTTGTGTGCTGTCCCTTCTGATGGGGTTTTGGATTTGGTTTGTCTAGTTTTTTGTTTGCTTGATCGTGGGGAGGAGTTTGTTTGGCTTTGGTTTATTTGTATACAAAACCAGAAGTACTTCACTTTGCTAAATTATTTGGCATGCTAGTTTTCAGCCAGTTTGTTTAACAAGAAACTATTCTGGTGAAAAGTAAAAAAAAAATCACCATGAACACATTTTTTAAAAAATAATCTTTTATTGTTTTTGTATAAATGACTGATTTCCAGTAATTTTTATATAAAACCAGCCAAAGTCCTTTGGAAAATAAGTCTGTTTATCAAAACAAAAGACGTTTGGTCCAATGGAGGACTTAATTTAAAAAAAATCTTATGTTAGAATTATGTTAGCATCCTTTCACTACAGACTACAACAGGAAAAAAAAAAAACCTAGAACATGTTCCCAACCATTTTTTGTCCTCATAAGAATGTGAGAAACACATGTATATAAAAAAAAGATACTCTTCTAGAATCAGATTGTGAATCCCAGCTATGACACAAAGGAAGTAAAATTCAGTGATACAGTAGGATGACTAAAATTGTACAAAGCAGCAATTATAAAGAAAAGGCATTTGGAGATTTCTGTGGTCGTTAGGCTTTCTACCTTTCTGTGAACATATAGCTTATTGGCTTTAAGTTTATAAAATATAGGAAAAGACTAAATATATAAGGTAATTAACATTGCCTTTCCCCTTTTATTTCTGCATTTTGAAATTTTTGAACAACTACCGCGACAGTTTGGGGAATAAACACAGGGCCTGGGGCCTGCTTGCCCTTCCTATTTAATCCTAATGAGCACTCCCACTAATGGCTTCCATTCTGGAAAGCAGCCTACGACAGGTATGTAAAGTCAATACATTCTCAGCTTCCTGAAGTTTTCTTCTAAGTGAATGCTTTCAAGACGTTGTATTAAATATCAGTCTACTGTGTAAAAACGTCTAGTCACCCTAGCTTAGAATATTATGTGAGAATTTTGTCTTCCACATCCTAAAAAAGGGCTACTCTGCCACTTTGTTTTTCAGCAAAGTCAACTTAATGTATTTGTGATAATTTATTCCATCTAACTTGTATGTAGGTTTCAGACAAGGAAGAAAAATTCATTACCACTTAAACATGTCAAAGTTATTTTCTCAGTTTAGTCATAAACACATCTAAAATTATTTTGCTACAGATTCTCCTTAGAAGGATTCCAAAGAATTATCAATGAATGGCTCTTAACTAGGATTTAATTGTTATATTCTAGATTATTCCAATCTTTGATTGTAATGGGATATGACCTATATCTAACAAGGATAAATCTGAGCATTGCAATTTAAAATCAAAATAAGACTTTATTTCTCTACAGGTACAAAACAGTTTTCACAATAAAAGTAGAAAAGAGATTAGATGTGTTATTTAGCCCATGTATTTTTAAAATATTAGTAGTTTTTTATAGGTAACTAAATTTAAGAAGTTTACCTTTCTCCTGTTTTGCTTTTAATAACATCTGATTACCTTTAACTCATTCAAATGAGATCACTGAGAAAATATAAACAATTTTATTTTTGATATGTCTCTAGCCATCGATTGATGGCCATTTTCAGAGTCCTATTTGGGGTAAGAACTGTTGAAGGAAGAACAAGATTTGTCATTGGACTCGTACGTTTCTTTTTGCTTATCCAATTTTCTATTGCTTCCTTTTCATATGAATAGCCATCTAAAAAAAAACCACAAAAATTATTTACAGTGTAGGAAAGAGAAGTTATGATTAAAATGAGTTAGGTATAAAAACTCCATTGCCAAGGCTTTTATTGTGATTTAAGTGGTCCTCTTGTACCACTACTCCCAAAATATTTCTACCACAACACCGTAAATTCTACCATTTAAGAGGCATTAATATTGCACAAATTACCTTGAACACTGTCCATATTTTATTGCCTTTTGAAGACTACAACTGAAAAAGAACTCTGCCGGTAATTCAGATGTAGTGGAGAGGAAGACAAGGCAATGAGCCAGGTCGAGTGGTACTAAAGATACATTAGAAATGTTAGCTATGTGTGTAAATTAAAATGGCTAAACATGACAGGAAGGAGCCTTAGGAATAACTTGGCAAAACTTTCCAACACACTGAAAAGTGAGGGAAACAGATACGGAGAGATTATAGAATTCATCCCACTAAGGACCTGACACTAAAGGGATTTATGATACAAAAAGTAAAATTAAGATCCACTGGCTAAAATTTTTAATACCATGTTCTTGAAAATTCTTTGCACATATAAAGACTGGAGCTTTTGCTTCACTATACCTTTTTATACTGGTAGCTCTTTCTCAAACTGAAAGGCTTCCTAATTACATGTACATGTTAACCTATTCGCTTTAATCTACAATGCACACAATTGTTTCAGACTAACAATGGCAGTATATTACTAACATAAGGGATCCACTGAGGTTGTCTAATTACAATACTGTGTTTGAAAATCACTTGAAAAAAATTGTCCTGTTTGATTATGTTACCAGCTCGACATACATTTTGGTCCATTTGCTTCCCTTTTTATCCTAATTTTTAGAGATTGGTTTGGTTTTCATGATTTAACTGTAAGACATTTAAGTGGTTTTGAAGTTAAAATTACAAAACAAGGTACATTCAGAGGAGTCTATCTCTAATCCATGTTCCCTCCCTTCTCTTGTAGGTAACCATGTATATTACTTTTTATCATTTTCTTTTTGAAAATACAAGCAAGTGTATGTGTACACACACAGTATATATGCATTCTTACATAAAAGCTAGCATGCTGTATACTATTTTGGATGGTTTGTTTTCTACTTAACTATGCCTTGCATGTTTATTTCTCTTGCAGTATTCCATGGTATGGATGTATTAATGGACATCTGGGTCGTTTCCATTCTTTGCCTTTTACAAATAGTGCTGCAATGAACAGTCTTATTTTGGGGAGATTTCAGAAGTAGAACTGCTACATTAAAGGGTAAACATATATAATTTTGCTACGTATGCCAATGTTCCATAGGAATTCTCCCATTGTTTAAAAATTCCTACTAACGATATTGATGAGAATTCCTTTTCCCTGGAGCCTCACCAAAATAATATGTTGTCAAACTGTATTTTTTCCAGTCTCTCATGAGTAACAGTATAGCATATCAGGTGGTTTTAATTTATTATGAAAGAGAACATTTTTCATATGTTTAAGAACTATTTACTTTTTCTTGTCCTATGAACTGACTTCTATTTTTGGCCTATTTTTCTACTGGGTTGCTCTTAGGAAGATTTTTTAATTGAGATATAATCGACAACATATTGCATAACATAATTAAATATATGATTAAATATATGTAGTGAAATGATCACAATAAGTCTAGTAAACATCTTTCACCACACACAGTTACAAATTTTTTCCTTTTTTCTTGTGATGAGAAACTTTTAAGACTTCTCTTAGCAACTTTCTAATATACAATACAGTATTATTAACTATAGTCACCATGCCGTACATTACATCCCCAGGACATATGAATTTTATAACTGGAGGTTTCCCAAACACTCCCCTAACCCCCTCCCTACCACCAGTCTATTCTCTGGATTTATGTCTTGTTTTAGATTCCACATATAAATGAGATCCTATGGTATTTGTCTGTCTTTATCTGACTTATTTTACTTAGCACAATGCCCTCAGGGTCCATCTATGATATTACAAATGTTAGGATTTCCTTTTACATAAAGAAAATATACATTTTCTTTATCCATTCATCCCCTGATGGACACAGGTTATTTACATGGCTGTTGTAAATAATGTTGCAAGGAATAGGGGGTGGTGTGCACATAGCTTTTTGAGTTAGTGATTTCGCTTCTTTCAGATAAATACCCAGAAGTAGAATTGCTGAATCATATGGTAGCTCTATTTTTAAATTTTTAAAGAAACCTCCATACTGTTTTCTGTAGTGGCTGCACCAATTTACATTCCCATCAACAGTGTATACAGGTTCCCTTTTCTCCACAACTTCACCAACACTTTTTTTTGATAGCCATTTTTGACAGATGTGAGGTGGTATCTTTTATGGTTTGATTTAGAAAATAGATATTTAGAAAAAATGTCTATTCAGTTTTTTTTTTCCTCTTTGCTGTTGAGTGGTATACATTCTTTATATATTTTGGATATTAACTATTGTCAGATATGTGATTTGCAAATATTTTCTCCATTCAGTAAGTTGCCTTTTCATTTTATTGGTTTCCTCTGCTGTACAGCAGCTTTTTAGTTGGATGTCATCCTCCTTGTTTATTTTCACTTTGCTGCCTTTAAAAGTCATCACAAAGACCTATGTCAAGAAGCTCACCACCTCTGTTTTCTTGTAGGAGTTTTGTAGTTTCAGGTCTTATATTCAAGTCTTTAATTTGAGTTGATTTGTGTATATGGTATAAGATAGCAGACCAGTTTCATTCTGTTGCATGTGGCTGTCTAGTTTTCCCAGCACCATTTATTGAAGAGCCTATACTTTCTCCACCATATATTCCTGGTTCTTTTGTTGTAAGTTGACCTTACATGTGTGGTTTATTTATGGGCTCTTTATTCTGTTCCATTGCTCTGTGTGTCTGTTTTTCCACCAGTATGATACTGTTTTGATTACTATAGCTTTGTAATAAAGTTTAAGATAGGAATCGTACCTCTGGCTGTGTTCTTTCTCAAGATCACTTTGGCTATTTGGGGTCTTTTGTAGTTCCATACAAATTTTAGGATTGTTCTCTTTCTGTGGAAAATGCCACTGGAATTTTAATAGGTATTGCATTGAATCTGTATATAGCTCTGGGTAGAATGGACATTTTAAGAATATTCTTATCCATGAGCAAAGGTTATCTTGCCATTTATTTGTGCCTTCTTCAATTTCTTTATCAATGTCATATAGTTTTCAGTGTACAGGTCTTTCACCTCTGATTAAATTCTTAGGTATTTTATTCTTTTAAATGTTATTGTAAATGGTACTGTTTTCTTAATTTTTCTTTTTGGTAGCTTGTAGGTAGTATACAGAAATACAAATGATTTTTGTATCTTGCAATTTTACTAAATTTGTTCTAACAGTCTTTTGGTAGAGTCTTTAGGGTTTTCTATATGTGGTAGAGTCTTTAGGGTTTTCTATACGTGTCATCTGCAAATACAGACAGTTTTACTTCTTTCTTTCCAACCTGGATGCCTTTTATTGCCTGATCTGGCTAGGACTTCCAATACTATGTTAAATAAGTGGTGAGAGTGCGTCTCTGGCCATGCTACCCTGAACAAGCCCAATCCCGTCTGTTCTCAGAAGCTAAGCAGGGTCAGACCTGGTTAGTACTTGGATGGGAGACCACCTAGGAAGACCTGGTGCTGTAGGCATAAAAAATAAAAAAATAAGGGATTGTAAGCTGACAAGGTCCTTGCAATCTGTGAGATCAACCAAGGGTTGCCTTGCCGAAAAAAGAAAAAAGGTGAGAGTAGGCATCCTTGTCTTGTTCCTGACCTTAGAGGAAAGGCTTTTGGCTTGTCATATATGGTCTTTGTTAAGGTATGTTCCCTCATCCACTTTGCTGAGAGTTTTAATCATAAATAGATGTTGAATTTTGTCAAAAGCTTTTTATACATCTATTGAGATAATCATGTGATTTTTATCCTTCCTTTTGTTAATGTGGTGTATCACTTTGATTTACAAGTATTGAACCATCCTTGCATTGCTGGAATAAATCTCACTTGATCATGGTGTATGATCCTTTTAATGCACTGAATATGGTTTGTTATTTTGAGGATTTTTCATCAATGTTCATGAGAGATATTGGTCTAATTTTCTTGTAGTTTCCTTATCTGGTTAATGCTGGCCTTGTAAAATGGGTTTAGAAGAGTTCTCTCTTCTGTTTTTGGAAAGAGTTTGAGAAGGATTAGTATTCTTTAAATGTTAGATTTACTTTTTATATCTATGGACTATTAACACTTCAGCAATTTTTCACATTTCTTTTGGATTTTGATTCCAGGTCAGGAAGTATCCCTATTTCCACCAAGTTATTTTCTTCTGGGATTTGTAAAGTTACCTTTTTTATGTTTTTGTTCCACTTAAAATTATTTTAGATGTACAGTATAAGAGATGAAGCCAGTTCTATCCTTTTCCATATGGCTAGTTGTCAGAATACCTACCACTTATTTGAATGATTTTTCCCCACTGATGTGAAATGCCATTTTCATTATTCACTAAATTTCCAAATGCACTTGGATCAATTTCTGAATTTTTAAATTATTTTCCGTTGGTCTGTCTATTCATGTGACCATCCCACACTGTGTTATTTATAGAGACTTTATAACATTCTCATATCTAGTAAAGCTAGCAAGACTCAATTTTCTAGGTGGTTGTGTGTTCTTTCTAGTGGAACCACCTGAATCTCTAGTACGAAACCTAATAGTCTTCCTATCTATCAATCACAATGCAATGCTTTCCATTTGTTCCAGGTATACTTTACAGCTATGTTTCACACTTAAATTTTGCATAATTATGTCTAGGGTTTTCTTAAATCTTTCACTTACCTTTTAAAAGCTTTTTGTTCACACACACACGAAGGCTATTTCTCTTTAGCTCTCTTAAGCTATTATCTCTCAGCTCCCAACCTAAATGATGCTGAGAGGCATGCTGAGGCCAGGATACTACAAGTCACATTTGTTTTGCCAGCTGGCTCCCTGTTAGATCTTGGAATAG